ATATTAAAAATAAAAAGCCTCATTTGTAATAGTTGCTTTAAGTCTCAAAATTATTTTGAGCTGCGCCTCCCAAGAACATAGGTCTAGCTATGAAACCCGTTTAAAGATCTGAAATCCACTTCAAATTTAACACTCAAATTCGACAACATGTATCACACCAAACCCAAGTCAAAGCTCGCCGGTGAATTCCTTGATGAATTTAGAAGCCTTTCACTAGGGGTGTTCAAATTTTGATTGACCGCAAGTTCCGACCCTACCCTACCTTATTGAACGGCTAATCACAAAAATCGGGTAGGAATAAGGAAGAGTTTTTGGTCTTTCGACAATTTTTCGGTAGGAATGCGGAATAGACATTCATTTCCGCATTCCTATCCTACCCTACCCGCAATAAATATATATATATATATATATATATATATATATAAAAAAACCCTAATCTACCGAGTCCCAAGATCGCCTGCTCCTAACACCTCACTCGGTCACTCCACTGTTCCTCCTTTATCGTTCCAAACTTCCCACCCAGGTTTTTTTTTTCTCTTTTCTGTGGTGTGGTCTGGCTTGGAAGGTTTGATCGCAGACCTTCATCTACAATAACTGATCGGTTACATGATTTATGGTGAATTAAAGTTTAAAGTTTAAACTTAAATTAATTGTTATTATATTTATGTAACAATTATGGTGGATTGACGTTCGTACTTTTTTGTGTTTTATTATAATTCTTGTTGTAATTGTTTTAGATTTTAGTGTTAATTGATTTATTGTGTTGTTAAATTAGTGCTTGTTATTTAATTAAATTGTTGAAATAATCCAAAAATTAATTGTTACAAAAATGTTTATCCGACTTCCTACCCGATTGATCGGGTAGGAAGTCGGATAAGAATACCACAACTGTCGGATAAGGTAGGTTAAGAAAAAAATTCTTCCGCAAAGCATCGGGTAGAAAGACGAAAGAGCATATTTCCTACCCGTAAGGTAAGGTGAACACCCCTACCTTTCACGTTGACCATGACCCTCGAAACAACTTGAAAACAAAAACTCACTTATCTCTCTTTCTTTGATTTCCTCTCTCCTCTCTCCCTCTACTTTCTATTCTCTATTCTCTCTCTTTCTCTATCTATCTATCCATCTATACTCTTCCAACACCTCCAGCAGGCTTATATTCAATCCAGAAAAACACCTTGCTACTTGATGGCCTTTGCATGGCCAGATAGATCAACCTCCAAGAGCTTCCTCTTGCTTGCACAAGAAAAGTGCTTGTGGGAGGGGCATTTTTCTGTAATTCTTGATTTTTTAATGAAATTTTTTTTTTTTCAAACATATTAATATAATATTTTTAAAAATACAAATTTAAGTCTTTCCCCACTTTCACACACCCAATTAGCTCATGCACTCGAAATCCTAAACCTTTAACTAGCTAAGTTTTCGTATAAACCTTAATCTGTCTAGCTCGGTGACTCAATTCATTTTCTACGACTTACTCACTCAGTGCAATGTCAAATTTAACTTCACATTCTCTCATTCATCTTATTCACATACTGTCTGACCTTGCCTTATTGACATAACTCTCAAACTAACCTTCCAAGACCTCAATCGTCATACTTTTTTCTTTTTTTTCTATTTCCTATCATTCTCTTGCTAACCAAACGAAGTTTACGGGGCTATCAATACTATATTTGAAAATTGAAATGAGAGAATCAAAGCCCGTTCACTGATACACTTGAATTCTTTCCAATGACTTCAATTTTTCATCTCTCATGAGATCCAAACATAGAGGAAGTATTAAACTTATCCAAGGTCATTAAAATAATACTTTGTTCATTAGTATACCAGTCTTATAAACCTATTCACTTATGATTAGTTCTAAATTTTATGCTTTAGTAACTCATCCACTTGTTTACCGTACACAGGGTGTGGAAAGTTAATCAGTATGCTTATCACATTTTCTTACCTAAAAACAGAGTTAAGAATGTGAATAAGTATGAGAAGGAGCAACCTGTTCACCAACCCCCCTTAATTTTGTCTTATTTATAAATTGAGCCGCACCTTTGGATGACTAATTCAATGAATCGAGTGTGAGGGTATTTTTACAATCGTATAGTGATCATTAATCGCCAAGTATGTGTTATAGCAAACTATCGTGAGTTTGGATTGAAGTGTGTGACCGTATGTTTTAGTTACCTCGTGCATTTTAATGTACACCCATGATTTAAATTATTTTAAAGTTAATGTGAGACGAAAGATTGTTGCCATATAGTTTGCGAGAGTTGATCTCAAATAGTATCTAGGGGTGAGTAGGTTATTATGCAATTTAGTAAATCCACTCTTCATTTATAATAAGCTAGATCTAATTTCAATTGACCCAATTCTATATTAGTTTGAAAAACAAAACAATTCTAAACAATTTTTTTGTATTAATTTAGCCTGTCTACTATATAACAATCTATCTCAAAGTGGCCTTTTTGTACAATTTGGACTTTCCGTTAAAGTTAACAGCAACTTTGAATGGAAAGACTAAATTGAGACAGGTTAAATAGTTGAGAGGCTAAATTGATACAAAAAAATAATTTAAAGACTTAATTGATATAAATAAAATAAGTTAGGGGTCATGTTGGTAGTTAATTCGAGTTAATTTTAGCTGGCCCGGCCCATGAATTGGACTGTGATTGTATAGGGTTTCTTCAGTATAATCATTTTGGCGCCAAAACATGTAAGTTCCCGCCATTTGTAATATCCAATTCACACTCACTGCGAGCGGAGATCTACAGAGTAAGTGAGCGAGCGAGCGAGAGAGAGAGAGAGAGAGAGAGAGAGGGGGGGAGGGAGGGAGACATGGAGGACGAGCAGTCATTAGTCGCCGGAAGGCGGAGGAGCAGGGGAGCAGAAGCAACGGCGCGTGCGGGAGCCCTCGAACGCCTCAAAGCCCTCCGACGGGGTGGCCGACGGTCCGCAACCGGCGGATTCCAGGTCAAAATGGAAGATCCTATTTACGATACAATCGACGAGGACGAGTACGAATCCCTCGTCGCGAAACGCCGCGAAGAAGTGAAAGGATTCATTGTTGACGATGATGGCATAGGCTACGGCGACGAAGGTCAAGAAGAGGATTGGACTCAAGCCGGTGGGCCCCCATTGTCGGATGAGTCGGAGGGAGAATCGGAGAGACCGAAGAAGAAGAAGACCGATAAGAAGGAGACGATTACGAAAAAGCCTTCGGCTCTCTCAGCTGCCGCGGCTTTGATGGGTAAACAACGGATCTCTAGTATGTTTACGTCTTCAGTATTCAAGAAAAATAGGGATGATAAGGTTAAGAATTTGAGTTGTGAGAGTATTGTTGATGATGTGATTGCGGAGTTTGCGCCTGATGAGGCAGATAGAGAGAGAAGGAGGAGGGGGCATGTCAATTTAGCAGTTCCTGTGAAGAGGGAGCCAACTTGTTCAGTTGCGTCAGTTAAGAATGAGAATTTGCCTACTGAAGGTGTTAATTCGATGGGTAGGTCTGAGATCAGACTTGCTAATGAAACCAATAATCCAATTGTTAGGCCTGAGACTAGTAACGATCATACACATGGTGAGCCTCTCTTCAGTAATGTGCAAGAGAGTGGTAAAATTGAGGAAAGAGATTCATCAGGGGAATGTGAAAATGGGAAAGATTTAAATACCGAAATGAGTAATGAATCGGTGGTGAAATTGTGCGATTCATCAGTTAAGAAGAGTGAGATTGAGGATGGCTTGTTGAATGGTGTTGAAATGAAGGCCGAGCCAGGATTTAAGAAGGAGTTTTTTACTCTCAATGCAAAGATTGAAGAGGAGAAAGATCTGGCATTGAGTGCCACAGCTGGGTGGCAGGCAGTGAGGAGTATGGGTAATGGTGGTATTGATTGCAATGGGGCGGAGGTGAATCCCACTGATGAAAAATCGGATTTTGAACTGGATTCTGATGGTTCACTGCCATTTTACATACTTGATGCTCATGAGGAGTTTTATGGGGCTAACCCAGGCAATCTCTATCTCTTCGGGAAGGTATATTGGCATTTTGTTAATGTCAGACATTCACTTTTCTGCCCTTTGAATTGACATTTCTCTACAAATTTCCATATATCCATAAGTTTTGAGCCTGATATAAGGAGCATTATTTGATATTGTGGTTTTCATATCTGTATCTTGGTAGAGATATTTTATTCTGGCAGAGAGAAGAATGGTTTTATAGTTAACAATATCCAACTTTCAATCAAAAGCTATACTTTTTCACCTAATCCTACTTATCCTGCCCCATTTCAAGAGCAATCAATGTAAAACAAAGATGACAATGTGGCCGCAACCAGCATTCACTTGTTTTTCAACACTGGTAAAGAAAAGAGCCACAACCCAATGCCTGGCAGTAGTAGGTGTAGGGTACTGCGGTTGGTGAGACATTTCAAAGATAATGGTCAAAAAGAATGAAAGTCAGTGCTTGACACAAGCCTTAAAGAGGATACCAGCAATTACAAGTTGCAACTGGTCTTAATAGTGTTGGAACATACTTGATATTGCTTGCTCTGTCAGAAACAAACCTATTCATTTTTATATTGATTTATTTGATGGACCATAAACTTTTCTTGGCAATTTAGGCTATAGATCAAGCAACCATTCTCCATTCAACATATAATTCAGTCCATGGAAGCTGAAACGTGTGGCTTCATCCATTAAGAGTGCAGGGTATTAGTTTTCCTTATCCCTAAACTTTGTCAGTCTCCTTGAAAAGAAACTAGTGTTACAGTTTATTTTTTTGGCATGAAGCTCAATCAAATGGTGATACTCGTGCTAAATCCTCCTTGGTCTTCCAATGCAGGGCTTACAAAAGGTGGTAGACCTTTGAAGGGTTTAGGGTTTTTGACATACACTGAAATATTGCATGCTTTTGAATTGATTTACTTGGCATTATCTAGTTTACTAAACAAATTTGTTCTTTCAAATTGGTGATGATTGTACACCATTTGGTTATTCTGGTTGCATTCTTGTAATAAAAATCCTCATTTCCTTCGCGTTCACCCCATTTTTCAAGCCCAGACGTTCATAATTTATTTGTCGGTCTATGATTAGCTCATTCTTCAATGCATCATAATTGTTGATTCTGCTGCAACCGAGTCAATAGTTGACATATTTCATGTTAAGCCTCAAGATCAAAACAGGAATTGCTGCATGTTACCAGCAACATGCAGGAATGCACTATGTAATCTTAACATATTCATTTTTTAAAATGGCATGGCTATGAAATTTGATTTTTTCTAACATCCTTGGTGTCTTTGTGCTGAATAGGTACTGTAACCATTTTACTTTTAAAATATCATTTTGGCATGTTTATGTACTTGATTGCTGACATCTGAAATCTGTTGTTTCAATTAAGGTCAAAGTGGGCAGGACATATCACAGCTGCTGTGTGGTCGTAAAGAACATGCAGAGATGCGTCTATGCAATCCCCATTGGTTCTCTGTTTGAGAACGACACAATTGTTAAACTTGAGAAAGATGCCGGAGAATCTCGAATTTCACCAACAACTTTTCGTACTAAGCTACATGTAACTTGTCTCATTTTTTCTTTGTAGCTTTTCTTTAATATGTAATATGAAGTTTGGTGTGCTTGTATGCTTGCTTTATGTTTTCCTTCTGTTGGGGTGTTTCATTGTTTTCTTTTTTCAGGAGATGGCATCAGAATTAAAGACTGAAATAACAAAACAGTTACTAGAACGTAATGTTTCAAGTTTCAGCATGGCTCCTGTCAAGGTTTGGACATCATTCAACTTCGTGTGTCCAAAAGTGCAATTTTTGTCAACTTTTTCACTGCTTAAGTTTTCCTTGCTTTTTGTGCTACTGTTTATTACTCATTCATTCTCTTCGGTGAATTTTTCCGCAGAGAAATTATGCATTTGAGCGATCTGACATACCTCTTGGGGAGAATTACATCCTTAAAATCAATTATCCATTTAAGGTATATTATTACTCGTGTATGCTAAGTCAATGAGGTGACGAGACCACTAAATTTTGCATTGAGACTGTCAACAGTTTTTGTAGTTGCTAAAATGCAACTCAGACATATTAGTAACTATGCTCTGTGTTGCTGTGAGAGCGTATGCATTTCATACTCATCTAATTTTTCTTTTTTATTTTATTATTTGGCTTGAGCTCCTAAAAGTACTACTTGGTGCTTCTGTCATTGTAGGACCCGCCACTACCGACAGATCTTAAGGGAGTAACTTTCTGTGCTTTGCTTGGAACTCACTGCAGGTATACTTATATACAGAGCTGTTTTTGTTCTGTTTCACGTGCATATCTTACTGCGAATGTTTTTTGTTTAGAGCATTTATGTAAGTTTGTTTGCTATCCTCTTGGTCAGAACTTGCATACGTATGTAATGTGCCTAGATTGCCAAACTGTGTGGATGCTGTGTTGTAAAATTTTCAAAACTATGGGTATAACTAATATGTATTTTGGTTTGTTTTAAATGGAGTAATGATAGTTTTTATGGAAATTTGTGAAAAGTCTTAAAAGGCAATCCCACATTGGAAAAGTGAGAAGGAAAAGAAGCATTTATTAATCGACAACTATCACATGCTTGTATTTTAACGCCAAGTGTACTAGTATGCACGAAGGTGCACACTAGGATAGTGCAAAGAACCATCTGCGTGCACGTTGCGAGGGCTATAGGGTGCTAGAGGCACATTGTGGCACTTTAGGGGCACACTTAGCACGTAAGCATTGTAGCGATGGGCTATCAGATCATGGCCATTGATGTAATTGAATGGTTGATTTCACAAATAGAAATGATTGGATGGTGGATTTCATGTCTGATCATTTGATAGTGATCAATGATCAGATTACATTTAATAATGGCAAGATCTAGACTGTAGATTGGTAAGAGGTGTGATCGGATGGTTATATTTAAACTAGAAAGTGTCTGTTAAAATGTGACTGTTGGTGGCAGTTATAATTTAAATATTGCAATGTCTGTTAATTAACAGACATGTCTTTTTGTTCTTGAACAACCATCATACCTATTCAGTGGCTATCTAAACAGACACTAAAGGGCCTATAAATTGGCAAAATTCTATCATTCTAACTGACTAACAATTTCCTGCTAAGTTTCTCTACCTAAGGCTTAAACTCTTTCTACTCATCATTATCATTTTCTTCTTCCTGGAATATGTTATCTGCAAAACAGAGTTCCTAGTGTCAAACTAGAGAAATCTGAAGGTATGCTGGTTTGACTTTGTTTTAGCATTACACAGTCAATCATCATATTCGATTCTGGGCTTTATTGGATCCCAAAGGCAAATTCGATGTAACCTGGTACACAACTTTTTACCAGAATTGGTGGGGGCAAATATTGTCTTAAGGAAAATGACTCAATAATATTCTTTTTTTCATCTCAAATTCTGCCCCAACTTGCTGAGATTTCTGTTATCGTTGATTGTTGTCTAATCAACCAAGTGAAAATCAAACTTTAGTTGGAATCCATCTGGTCCAATAGTCTTTTAATATGAACAGGCCCCCTCCCTAATCAGCGTTTATTGGTGTTGAATCAGCCATGTCGAAATTGAACTTTAGTTGGTATCCATTGCTTTTTTTTTTTTGGGGGGGGGGATTGATAGTTAGCTTATTTGATGGAGTTACTACATGCCAATGGATTGATAGAATGGATAAGTATTAATAAGTTCATAGCTTGTGGCCTTATCTGATACTATTATCAAAACCCCACCTGCCTGTTGCGCATCTAAAAATGTTGGAAGTGTTGGATTCTGCGTGTCTTTGTAGATGCATGGAAAAACTAAATCCTTTTAACCAAACCTATCCAGATTGTAGGCACAGCAGCTCCCAACAGCTTCCAATCTTCTAGAGATAATAAAGCTTATAGTCCTCCGTTTATTCTGCATGTTGTTCTCTCTTGTTTGTTCCATCTTTCTTTCTGATTCATATGTTTTCTAAATTGTTTTATACCAAGTAACTGACATTTTCTGTTAGGCTTTTGGATTTTTTAGTTCAATATCCTGATTTCTACTATTTCTGCTTGGACTTATTGTCCATGGTTAATTAACTTTAAAAGGAGGAATTTCCCTCTTATATTTTCAGTGACTACTTATATCAGACATTATTACACAGAATTTCATTGATGTAGAGAATGTGTTAAATTGTCACTTCTAATAATCAGATTTAGAATGTTAAATTGTCACTTCTACTAATTTCATTGATTGGAGTTTCTGATTTTATGTTCTTGTCTATGTAGGAATGTTGTGCTTGCTTTGTATTTCGTGTGGACTACTTGTTCACTCCTGCATTCACTTTGTACTAATTTTTTGTCATTAATAAAATCATACCTATCCAAAAAAATAAATAAAAAATTAGATTTAGAATAAACTATTATGCTTCTTGAAGCTTTCAGTGAATTTAACTTTACAGTTGGAAACAGACCTTTAAAATTTCCTTTGATAAGGAGAACTAATGTTAGAGTCATTGCCTAGTTCATTAGTAAAATATTGGGCAAAAATGGCAAGGTTGTGGGTTTGAATCTATGGGTAGCCACGTTGTGCATCTATTGCCAAAAGTTAGGTCCAGTCACAGCTCCTAGCACCTGTGATTACGGGGACAAACCTGGGTAATGATTTGATTTTGTTTTGTTTTCTTTATCTGATAAAAGGAGAACAAAATTTTTGGACTGCGTAATAGATTACTAGATTAGGTTTGTTTCATCGAAGGTTATGCTTTCTTTGTTTGGGGCCAGACTTCTTGGATCAAGTCAAAGATTTGAATACTGGCTATCTAAATTTCGTAAGCTCGAGGATTCTGCACTTTTCCAATTGACTATCGTTCAAATTACCCTGATGTTTACTGCAACTGGGGACCAAATTCACTAGGCTTGAAATTAACTTCGGTGTCTGCTGTGCAAGTGTGTGACTTTATCTTCGTTAAGAACTTTTACTTTACTCAATTTTTATGGATGGTTAGCTACCCACATGATGGTTACCTATTTTGGCGAAGAAGGAAAACTGATTTGCATCATTCTTTGCAGTGCTTTGGAGCTGTTTCTTATCAAGAGGAAGATAAAAGGACCTTCGTGGTTATCAGTTTCAAAATTCTCCAGCTGTCCAGCTCCTCAGCGTGTGAGGCTTCCAACTCTGTTTGTCTTGTCATTTAAAGGATTCTCTGATTGATTACTTAGGCACTTTAAGAGTACTTTTATCAAACCGGCTTGGTCACATGCTGGACAGGTAAGCTGGTGCAAATTTGAGGTTACTGTTGATTGTCCAAAGGATATCCAAGTGTCAACTTCCTCAAAGAATAGTGCAGAGATTCCTCCAGTGGTTGTTACAGCATTAAATCTGAAAACCTTCATTAATGAGAAACAGAAAGTCAATGAAATTGTCTCTGCATCTGCAATCTGTTGTCATAAGGCCAAGGTACACTACCTGTAGTTTTCTAGTGCGATGGATTACCTCCTGATCAAACTGGCCGACAGTTAGTCCTCAATTTTGAATATGCATATTGCTGTCTTTATGTTGTATATCTCATTGATGTTGTGCTATTACCTTTGTTGGTTTATATGCTGACTTGTATCCAATAAATGTTATCTTGGACTATTCATCATGGATTTTTTAGTGATTTGCATTCTTTGCCATGGTTGATAAACCTTGGAATAAACGTGAGTGAAAAAGGGATACTCAAACTAAGAGTAGAGTCTCGTATATATAGTCAAATAATAATACAAAGTGACCTAAATATCCTTGTGGTATAGGCAAAATATAAAGTCATAGGAAGGGTAAAAAAGGGAAAAGAAATCCTAATAAACTAGACTATACTCTAACACTCTCCCTCAAGTTAGGCGCAAAAATATCAACTAAGCCAAGTTTGACAACGGAGTTCCGGAGAATGAATAGAGTGACAGGTTTGGTGAAAACATCCGTAATTTGATTACTGGTCCCTACAAATAATGGAGTGACAATATCACATCGAACCTTCTCTCGAAGAAAGTGAACATTGATCTCTATATGTTTCGTCCTTTCGTGTAATACAGAGTTAGAAGCGAGTTGAATAGCAGATGGATTATTACAATATAATGTAGATGAAGAAATCACTGGAAATCCCAACTCGCCAAGAATTAATCGTAACTAGATAATCTCACATGTGCCAAGTGTCAGTGCTCGATACTCTGCCTCTACTGACTAATAAGAGACAACTGTCTGCTTCTTGCTCTTCCAAGAGATAAGATGAGTCCCTCGAAAAGCACAAAAGCCCGTAGTAGATCGATCAATACATGCTCCCCTATAATCTGAATCTGAATAACAGGCTGGAGAACCAGTCTGAGATCCTGATGCATAGAATGACCCAAGTCCAAGACAAGACTTGAGGTACCGAAGAATATGATAAACTGCATCAAGATGAGGCTGACGCGGCTTGTGCATGAACTAACTAATTCAGCTGACTGCGAATGAAATGTCTGGCATGGTGTTGGTTAGGTAGATAAGTTTACCTACTAACCTCTGATAGAAAGTCGGATCTTTCAACTCCTCACCTTCAGCAGTAATCTTCAGGTTTGGAATCATGGGTGATGATACCGGTTTGTACTCCAGCATCCCAGTGTCTGAGAGAAGATCCATAACATACTTTCTTTGAGAAAAAACAATACCCCTGCTGTTACGAGTAACCTTAATCCCAGGAAAGTATTGTAGAAATTCAAGGTCCTTCACATCGAAGGCCTTCCCAAGGTCTACCTTGACCTGCACAGTCCCAGAAACATCATCTTTAATAATAATAATATCATTAACATTAGGGATGTCAATGGATCGAAGTGGAGGGGTATAGTTTTCATCCCCGTACCCGCTTAAAAAACCTTTGTCCATCCCCCGTCCACTCCCGCTAATTGGTATAATTTTTATTCCTTTCCCTGTCCGCAGATAAATTTATAATTCCTGTCCCTGTACCCGCTCAAGCACAAGCAAAGTCATAAGAATTAAAATAACAAAATTTTTTTTTTTTGCTATGATCGGAATAGAAGATGTAACAATATAAAAAATGTCTTCTTTTCTTTGCACTCAATTATGTTGAAATAAGGAAAATTATTTTGGGAGATAATTATCTACAATTCCATGGACGGGTTTAGACGAATACCCGTTTTTTTCGGTCCATTACCTTCCTTAATCAACATATACCAAAAAGATGACACACTGTCCAGAAGTATTTTGTTGAATAAAGTAGGTATGATCAGAATGACATTTGGTAAACTCTAAATGTACAACTACGTCACTAAAGCGAGAGAAACAGGCTCGTGGTGACTGTTTTACTTCATAGAGAGACTTACGCAGTCGACATACCTTTTCAGCATAATCTCCTTCACCATGAAAGCCTGGTGGTGCATCCATATAAATAATCTCGTCTAAATCACTATGAAAAAATGTATTCTTCATATCCAACTGATGAAGAGGTCAAGAGTACTTCACAGCCAGAGAAATAATTAATCGAACAATAGTCAATTTTGCCACGAGGGCAAAGGTAGTACCAAAATCACAACCTGGTACCTGAGTAAAGCCCTTTGCCACAAACCTAACCTTGTGACGACCAACAGTATCATCTGCAAGAAACTTTAGGTTGTAAACCCAGCAACAGCCAACAGGCTTCACCCCTGAAGGTAAGAGACAAGATCACACGTATGATTACGCTGAAGAGCGTCCATCTCTGTTTGCATGGCAAGAATCCACAGGGGCTCTCGTATAACCTCTGAAACAGAGCGAAGAACCGGCGTATCTGATAAGGTCATACTATAAGCTCAAAATATAGGAGAAATATCACCGTAAAAAACATAAGCAGAGATCGAATATAAAGTCTTGGCGGTCTAGCCATAACGAACAATTGGACGGCGATCAAGCTGTAGATACCTCGCTATGAACATAAACCTGTAAAGGAAGAGAGACTAGTGACTCTGTACTAACAGGGAAGAGTGGCTCTGCAGGAGGAGAGACTGATGACTCTATAGTGATAGTGATCAATGGCTCTGACTCCTATGGTAACGGAAAATCAAAAGGAGTATCATCAACTAGAGGGGCAGACATAAGACTGGAAGAAAAATAAAGAATGTATTCAAGAAAGGTAACATCTAGACGATGATATATACGGCGTTTGACAGGATCATAACACCGATACCCCTTTGACTGATGACAATAACCCACAAAGACATAACGAATCGTTTTATCATTAAGTTTATGACGAGTAGGAGACCGATCCTGAACAAAATATGTACAACAAAAAACACTAGGGGGACCGAAAAAAGTGTCTGCTCAAGAAATAAGACTTGTAAGGGAGCCCTATGCTGAAGAACACGACTCGGTGTATGATTACACAAAAAAGGTAGAAGTCAAAACAATAAAATGCCAATAAGATTTTAGAACTCCCATACCTCTAAGCATACAACGTACCATCCCCATTAGACTCTTATTTTTTTTTTTTAGTAACTCTATTTTGCTCAAGAGTATATGGATAAGTGAGCTGTTAAAGGATATCCTGAGAGGAAAGGTGAGACACTAAGGTATCAGACACATATTCTTTGGCATTATCCGAACGAAGAGTACAAACAATAACATCGAATTGTGTCTTAATCATTTGGAAAAACTGAGTGATGATAGGGAGTACATCAAACTTCCTATGTAAAAGGTAGACTCAAGTACAACGTTTATGATCATCTATAAATGTCACATAGTATTGAGCACCTGATAGAGTAATAATAGGAGAGGATTCCCAAATATCAAAGTGTAGGTCAAATGGCTTGGGTACTGGTGCATGCGAGGAACATAACTAGTTCGAACATGTTTCGAAAGGGAATATATAACACAGTCAAGTTTACCATTAACACAAGCATTGCTCAAAATAGGAAATAACATACATAAATATTTAAAATTTGTATGTCCAAAATGGTCATACCCATAGTTATCAAATCGTGTATCGGAAGGCGTATCGTAAGATACAAATATTGTATCGTATCGTGTATCGTATCGTGTATCGTAAGATACGATGCAATTTTAAATAAATAATAAAAAAATATATATACCTTTGAAAAAAAGTCATACACTCATAAAAAATATAGCATTTCATTAATACTCCACCAACTATTCAAGTTATCAACATAATCCACTACTATTATAATGCAAAGTTCACAACCATAGTTCACTAATTCAAACTTTAAACACCAAAGAGACTTCTAATCCAAATTTCTAACATCCATTTTGAACTCAATCTTCAATTTCAATTGAAAATGCATCATCATCATCATCATTGTGATCGGATGCCAACAAGTCTTCACTTGTCGTTTTTTTAAAAAAAAAATCAAAGCACAAAACGACGTCCTTTTTAAAAAAAAAAAAAAAAAAAAAAAAATTGCACGTATCGTGCGTATCGTACCGATACGTATCGTATCGTAAAAACGTATCGTGTATCGGACGATACAACGCAAAAACGATACATAACTACGATCCGTATCGTTTTAGGGCTGTATCGTAACGTATCGTACGATACGTATCGCGTATCGTACGATACTAACAACTTTGGTCATACCACAAATGAACAGTTTGTGATGAAAAATCATAACGACAAGTACTAGGCAAAATACTAACATGCAAGCTAGGAACAGATAAAGACAAAGCAGGTGATGGAGGTGGATCGCCTAGATAATACAATCCACCTCTCTCATGTCCCCCGATAATAATCCTCTTGGTACTCAGGTCCTGCAAATAACACGAATCAGATAAAAACACAACCGTACAGTGAAAATCTCAGGTTAACTGATGTACGGATAATAGATTCATGGCCAATTTTGGCATATGAAAAATCGAATGTAATATAAAGCCATCTGGGAGGCGGACTGTACCCCTACAAACAATAGGGACATGTGTCCCATCTGCTAGTTGAACTTGTGTGTGTAACTGCTCGTCAAAAGTGGTGAAGTGATGAACCTCACTTGTCATATGACCATTCGCACCCGAGTCCAACATCCAAGGGAAGACGGACTGACGCAAGCATGAAAGGCACGAGGTATACCGGTAGTGGTGGCAGTAGCAATAGTCAGATCCTAGGAAGTCAGGGCGGATATAAGTATATTCATTCAGAAAATGATAGCATCTATATCACTCTACCAGGGAAGAGCAGCAGCTAGCGAACAACATAAACCAATTATACAACTGACAACCACAAACATATACCACCGACATATACCATTAGCAGTATATACCGACAGCCACCCCATACTCCATAAACCACCGACCCACATACTCCACCTATACTCCACCTATACAACCGACAACATACTCCTACCAACATACTCCTCCCTCAATTCATAAAGCACCAACCCCATCAAACCAACATCGACAAACAACATCCCAGTTTTAAAAAGCAACAACCCCAGCAACCACCACTGCCCACTGCCTGCAACGACAACCAAACAATCCAAAGCCGATTGCACCCACATACCACCTGCAATCTAAAACCCAAACCAAACAGCAATTCTATTTTGCTCAGGAGTATATGAACAAGTAAGCTGCTGAAGGTGATGAGGCTGGATGGTGATGAAGGTTGCTGATCGCCGGTGAGAATGATCGTGAAGGTTAGGGTTAGGGTTAAGGTATAACTCTGATACCAACTTGGAATAAACGTGAGTGAAAAAGGAATACTCAAACTAAGAGTAAAATCCCGTATATACACTCAAATAATAATACAAAGTGATCTAAACATCGTTGTGGTCTAGGCAAAATATAAAGTCTTAATAAGGGTAAAAAAAGGGAAAAAAAACCCTTAATAAACTAGACTATATTCTAACAATAAATTCTTTGGTGGTGTTGTATTAAGGTTACATAATCTGTAAGTGCCTTTTGTTGAGGGATGAGGCAATATAATAATTGTGATCCTATTCTTAAAGATAGTCAAACCTTTTTCTTCTACTTCAATTATGTAAGCTTATTGATGCTGCCCATAAATCTTACTGTTTTTGTTCTCTAGGTTTGATAGATTGATTGTTTTATCGTTAAATCTAACGATTTGGTCTCACAAATTACCTCTCCACAAAAAAGAAATATCCATTATGGATTGTACAAGTATGCAAATGAAGCATAGTGCATTAGATGATTTGCCCGCTTTTGTGATGTTGAATCATTTTTCTAGCAGCTTCCTGGATGAATTTCTTTATCATTGTTTCAAAAATGTATCCAGATAAATTGAAGTTTCCAGGGTGAGCTTGAGTTGAAATATACTTTCCTCATTTTTTTTTTCAAAACCTGTATATTGGTTGTTATCAAGTCATAATTTGTGACTTGTTCCCTATAAAGTCCTTGCTTAAGAGTGAAACATGTTAAATTTAATGTATTCCTTTTGATTAACGTGTTGTATTAATATTAGCTACTAATTCCATTTCTGGACCTTTCAGATTGACACTCCAATGTTAGCCTCTGAATGGAAAAGAACTGGCATGCTTAGCCATTTTACAGTACTGCGTAAGCTTGATGGAGGCATATTTCCAATGGGATTTACCAAAGAGGCAGCAGATAGAAATTCAAAGGCGGGATCAAATGTCATTAGTTTTGAAAGCAGGCAGGTTTCATTTGTAAATCATGCCCTTTGTCAAATTATATTGTGCTGCTTAGTTTTTTAGATGTCAACTTATCTGGTAATAATCCTTTTTTTTAACAGTTCCAGTCAATGAAGAGCTTCTTCCTCCTAATCTATCTCCCCCTCTCTATAATATTGCAGTGAAAGAGCTTTGTTGAACCGTTTCCTGATTGAATTACACAACTTGGATAGCGATGTACTTGTGGGGCACAATATATCTGGGTTCGACCTGGATGTTCTTCTTCACAGAGCTCAGGTGGTAATTTTGAAGCAGTGCTTTATTTATTTTTCTAAGCTATGTGGGCTACATGTTCTTTTCTGTATCCTTAAAAAGTTGTAAAAATTATGGAGAACCTAATAGCACTGTACCATTTTTTATCTATCTGGGTATAACTGTGATACATTCCAGTCAGATGTCTATCTTAAAGCATAAAAAATGGGCTGACAGTGCTGATAGGATGCAGTTTCACTTTTGTATATATGATGTTGGTGTGTTGGAACTCTGTTTTGCAATTGAGATTTTCTCAAGAATCCCATGTTACAACTTACAAGTAGTGACTTTGGATCTTTTCACCATTGTGTGATGATCCAAATGCATGCAATTCTCGAAAGCAGTGCTTGTCTCCATAAATGATCTGCTGTTGTCCCTAAGACATCTTTGTACTTTTTATTCAATTTTATAGGCTTGCAGAGTGCCTAGCAATATGTGGTCCAAACTAGGCCGTCTCAAGCGCTCAGTCATGCCTAAGCTTACCAAAGGAAACACCACTTTTGGTTCCGGAGCAAGTCCAGGGATCATGTCTTGCATTGCAGGCAGGCTTTTATGTGATACCTTTCTGTGTGCTCGTGACCTATTAAAAGAGGTATCTATTTTAGCTGCTAAATCATATTGTGAAAGTGCTTGGTAATCTTGGTATAGTTTGATCTCATAGTCAGAATTTGTCTGTTCCAGGTTAGCTATTCTCTAACACAACTTGCAAAGACTCAGCTAAACAAGGATCGGAAGGAGATTGCTCCACGTGATATTCCAAGGATGTTTCAGAATTCCGGATCCCTTATGGAACTTGTAAGTTCTATTGCTTAATTTAATTACTTCACAAGGTATCTCTTCAGTTTTCTTTTGTACTGATAAATGTCATGGTTGCCAAAGACAATACATTTAGCTGATTTTCAAAGTATCCCTGTTTTCTCTAATAGTGTTTCATCATTGTGTGAACTGTGGTGGTCTCATTGTGTTTGCATCACTCTGACCAAGTTAGCCTTGAGCTCCTCTGAGAGCATAAGAAACTCAAGTTTGTATCTAATTCCCAGATGAGCCAATAGTAGCACACTATATCATCTTAGCCTAATAATTTTAACTTTTTATCCTTATGGAATGGTCACCTGGTCAACTTGCCACCTATGATTGGAAAGTGTTGCTGCCCTTTTTGGAGTAAGGGTGGTAAATTTTTTGTGCTGTATCTATTGTGTGCAGATAGAATATGGTGAGACAGATGCATGGTTATCAATGGAACTCATGTTCCATTTGAGTGTTCTTCCCCTCACACGTCAGTTGACTAACATAAGTGGTAATCTCTGGGGGAAAACTCTGCAGGTAAGTCATTGCAATGTGCTTCTACTAATCTGCCATCTTACAAAGTCCGTATGTGGGAATCATCAATTAATTAGAATTTCTCTACATCTGATACATGTGATTCCAGGGTGCTAGGGCCCAAAGAGTAGAATATCTCTTGTTGCATGCGTTCCATGCGAAGAAATTTATTGTTCCCGACAAGTTCTCTTCTCAGTTAAAGGTTTTGAAAGTGACAAAACGTAAATTGAATCATGATGCTGAAGACAAAGCAATTGATGATTTGGATGTTGATGATGCTGAGATTGAGTCTCCACATAATGAACAAGAGAAAACGAGAAAGGGGCCTGCTTATTCGGGTGGGTTGGTGTTGGAGCCAAAAAGAGGTCTATATGATAAGTATATATTACTTCTGGACTTCAACAGTCTCTACCCCTCCATCATTCAGGTTGACTATACTTCCTTGCTCCCTCCATCCCTCTCGTCCCTTCCTTTGTCATTTAGCTTGTCATTTCTTTAATATCTTCTTGCTGAATTGATGTTGATTGGTGCTGTTTTGTGTCATGTGTCATGCATTTATACTTCTGTTCCAACAGGAGTACAATATATGCTTCACAACTGTTCAAAGATCTCCGGATGGATCTGTTCCCCGCTTACCATCTAATAAAAGGCCTGGACTGCTACCCGAGGTATATAACCTTATGATGATGCATTTTTGTCTATAATCACCTTGAAGATATCAAAAACTTCGATGCAGTTGCACCTTAGTGAGTGATAAAATTATCAAATTTCAGCCCCGAGGGTTGGTTTGTGTCAAGATTTTTAGCTTTAATGAAATTCCTTATTAAGTGGCAGTTTGATGAAAACTGCATATTGTGTAAGCCAGTCTTTGCTTATATATGCGACTTGGACCTTCATGATTAAATGCTTATCCAAAGCAGAATGTTGCTGAATCTTTTGGCCAAGAAGGTACAGTTACACGTTTAGTCCTGTGAAGACGGCAGTTAGACTCATTTGGTCGCCACTGATGGTAGCTTATGCATTTAGCTAACACCTTTCTTGGACCAAAAAAATGCAAAAATGCTCTATGCAAGCGTAAAAAAAGGAAGATGAGGTAGTTTATTAGTGATACTGTAAAATCTCACTTTATGATCTATATGCAAATGCAAAACTTTTTTTTTTTTTGTTCAACGGTCAAGGGTGTCTGGTTAGCTTACGTGCACCTTGACTAATTCCCTTTCTGGTTTGGTTAAAGATAGGCCATCTATACTAGAATTAAGGTATTTATAAGGGATAAATCCCTCGTGGCCTGACTCCAAGGGTTGTCAAGATTCGAATTTAAGACGTCTGGTTTACAACTTGTCCCTATTATCAGTTGAGCTACCCCATGGGGTTGAAGACACAAAACCTTTTATCCCTTATTCAATCTTCCTCTGTGTTTGATGGTTGGAGGGGAGGTAGGCTCGGTAGTCCATAAATTATTGAACTTTTTTTCTTTTCGTCAAAACCGTATCTATTATCTACGTCTATTGAATTCAATTTTAAAGAACGGCTGGCATAACAAATATGAGATTACTTTTTTTTTTTAGAGGCATTACCAAGCCTTTCCTTTCCTTCCTTAAATTTTTATATATATTTTGATTGAGTAACCTGTTTTTGAACATCAATTGCCTATTACTTTTTCAAAAGATCATGGGTAAGGTAAAGTTTGAAGGATAAAACAAGGTGACAAAAAAATGGTCTTGGTACTATTTAAGCTCCACATAAAATATGGTATGAAGTTAAAGACGCATTTTTTGCTAAATTAATTGGAGATTTTGTCATCCTGTTGGCTGTTTCTGCACGCCGTTTACTGAACCATAACAATGTAATGCAGGACCAAATAGAATGAAAGAAGAGAAAAAATTCCAATTATTCTCAAAAGTAATCTCTAGTTATACTAAGCCTGGTATTTATAGGCTTCTCAAAATGTTTCAAAAAGGAACTGAACAAAACTAATTGCCAAAATAATAAAGAAATTACATAATTCAGTCCTAAATCATAAAATGATACTAAATACAATTCATAGTCCCCAACCTTCAATCGTGCATCATCCAATCCCTTTGCATTCCCCATCACGATGTTTGCTTATTACTGACTTGTGCCGTAATACCACCATGGTCCGAATTTCAATCCTAATTTCCTGTAAGTGCCTGCCAGCATATTCGCTTGCTTACCAGATTAAAAAAATGCAAAGAAAAGTTTCTTGTGTTGACAGCTGCATAGTGGCACATAATCATAAAGGGAGATGAGTAAATGTTTTGATTATTAAATGTGTATTCTGATCGTGGAAGATAGATACTAGTTGTGTATTCCCTATAATTTGAGACTGAATGAATATTTTACACTGAGAATAATGATTCTGAACATCGTTGCTTTACCTTCCGAGACCATCATTACATTTTGTTTTCTGCCTTTTTCAGAAAAAAAGAATGTGTTCGTCTATTCCCTACATATTGGACCTCTTATTTCTTTATCTTGATTTCTTTTGCAATATAGAAATGCATAAGTTTCCTTTATAGATTGACATGTTTTTTTGTAGTTGCTGAAAAATTTGGTTGAGAGAAGGAGAATGGTGAAGTCATGGTTAAAAACTGCATCTGGTCTGAAGGTCCAACAGCTTGACATACAACAGCAAGCGCTGAAGCTCACTGCAAATAGGTGTGTTTATTGCTCATGCTGTTTTTGTTCCTTTCACTATAGTTATCTTTGGTTCTTCATGGTTTTGTTTTCCTCCCCCTTCAACCCTCTACCTATCTGTGGCCTGCAGCATGTATGGATGCCTGGGGTTTTCCAATTCCAGATTCTATGCAAAG